AATTAAGGCAATAAAAAGGCCCAAAAAAAAATAATAATAATGGCGCACATCTTGACATAGAGGAATGGGGCATTTATGATAAGATAAGATAAGTTCCTTTTATTGATTCCCTGTGGGAGAAATTCAAATCTGACACAGCAGCATAGGGGAAAATGAGTGTAGGAAGAATACTAAGTAAAAAATATTATAAAGATATAATAGGCAATAGAAAATATAAAGACTATAATTAAAAATATATACACAATGTACAATGTGCAGTATGCAAGTAAGAGATATGAAGTGCACACATATTTAAACAGTGTTAGCTAAACTGTACATGTGCAAGTTGTGAAAACAGGAAGTTAAAACAATCTTAATCAGTGGAGGTTGGAGGTATGGCTGTCATGTAGGAACAATTATCAGTTAAATCAGAAAAATTATAGACCCAAAAGTGCCTGTCAAACTTGTGACAAGGTTTTATGAAATGCATGTCTAATATTTATTTGTATTCCCTGTTGAGTTTCCAAACATTGCAGCTTAAAAATGCAACGCTATGTGGCAACAGAATCGTGAAGCTCGGCAACACCAGGATGCAGTCACAGATCACAGAGTTGTGATACACTGTTAAAACTCTAAATTAAAACCAGAGCAGATGTATGTTTGACTGTGATGTGTTAGCTATGTTTAACAAGTCTCTGCCAGTTGATTTTGATAATGTACTCAAATGAACTAAAACCAAACCCAATTTATGCAAGTTTTAAACACATAAGGTTTTTACTGGACTGCATTGGACTTGAATTGTGTAAAGTCACCGGTGTAGCCCTTTAAGTGTGCATGTGGAGAGTGGGGTGAGGATCAATGACTCATGCTATAAGTTGTGAGGAATTTTAATTAGGCATGCGTCAGCTGTCTGTTGAAATAAAAAGCTAGCATTAGCATTTATAGTGACGTATACTAATGGCACTCTTGTAGTCTTTCATATTGTTAATTGCTTCGGATCTGACAAATTGTCACCACCCCGCCCACATTAAAAGGCTTCACCAACACAGAGCACAGAAAACCAGAGTGTAACAAGTCTTCAACAGCAGCTGGGTATGGCTGGGCTAATCAAGAGAATAGCTGCATCGATTTAGAGATGTAGAGTTCCTCCTCTAAGCTGCTAATGGTGAAGGAGGTATAATTACGTTTATTATAAGCTGAACTTTTCAAACTTAATCACTGAAGGAGGCCATTCATAAAAAGGAATTGCCAGTCTAGATATGCAGGAGCATAGCCAGCTTTCCCACTGGGTGACCAGGTTAGATTAATGTTAAATATAAAGGTACACATCCCTTCTGATGTTACTATTCTGTGACAAACTGTTGTATGGGTAGAGACAACCTAGAAAAAGTAGGAGGGTCTGGGGGCATGCTCTTCTTATTTTTATTTATCATGTGTGTATATATATGTATATATATATATCAGTCTGCCCTCCTCCTGACTGCTGTTTTTGTGAATAAGTGATTGTTGACTTGTCAGAACACCATGTTCATTTAAATGAGTAACCATGGTGACGGCTTACATCTTATTCTGCTGTTTTGCGACACTGTTACATTTTCAACAGGACACTAGGTTCCGGCTACAGACTGTTGCTGGTGAATGCAGTGTAGCACAGCGTGTTGTGGACAATATGGAAGCGGGCCTCCAGCCTATAGGCTATTAATAGAAAAATAAAAATGATTTCAAACTGTGCCTTTGAGTTTGACACACGTGGTTTAGCCTTTGGTTTGGTTTTATATAGCCGATTCAATTTTATTTCCAATAGAATCCTTGCATAGCATAGCATAGCATATACCTGTACGGTGGTTTGCAGGTAGCACAGTAGCTTAGTAAATTGGAATGTGTTAAGGAGTAAGGTCCTGCGTTTAAATCTCTCCCCTTGTCCTCTGTGTGTTTTGATGTTCTTCTGTTGTGTTTGTGTGGATTTTTTCCAGGCAGTCAGAACTTTGTTTATTTTCTTGAATAGTATAAAATAAAATAATGTTTTTGAGTGGGTGTGAACTTTGGGTGTATTTTTATCATTTTACAGGCGTTGCTCAACACTCAAAACAAGCTGAGAGCACTGGTCCCCAATTTCACCTTCAACTTGGGATTCTCTGGAAAATTCTATCATACAGGTATGGAACATGTGACATTACTGCATCAACACAGCTTTCTGTTTGAAACATTGTCTTATAATACAGCTTTGGATATTTGTATTTGTAAAGACGGCAGTTTAAAAAATAATAACATTACACTAATACCATATCAAGGTCATTGTCTAATTGACCCAAAGTCCTGCCCCTCTTTGCTCTGTGCTCCAGTAACCGTTGAGCAAGCCTCAGTCAAAACCTCAGCAACTTCAGACAACCATATTTTGAAAATGGTTAAAAGTTATAAGCAACATGCTAACATCAGCTGTCTCTATCATTGACAGTATATGTAGGTTTATATGGACACATTTTAAGTCACTAATGTTGGCAGAGTTTTTGCTCTGTAGCAAAATCTACATCAATTGTTGAAAGCCTAGCAAAATGCTAGTAATGATTAATGTCAATTAGTTAGTTAAAGTTTTGCTAACATTAGCTTTCAGATGTAACTAGCTAGTTAACAACTGTTGTAGATTTTGCTATGAAGCAAAACTCTTTCTAACAATCTAACAATTGATGTAGATTAGCTCGCTAGTGTTGCATTGCTAGTTAGCTAACTAATGTTAGCTTTTATCTCTTAATCATATTTTCAACGTAGACAAGCCTTTCACATAGCATATCTAGGTACAGGAAAGGAGGAAGTTAAACAGAGGTTCTGACTGATGCTTGATCAACTGTTGAAAAGGGTCAATTGTACTGATTCTGGTACAATTCTTCTCAGGGTATCTGCGAGTACCGTGTAGCAATCTGACAGCAGTGCAATCTTTTCCACAGATTTAAAATATCTATTTTATGTGCCACAATACTTATGCCGAAACTCTGCTTGTGCGTGATTTCAGGTACTGACGAGGAGGATCGGGGAGATGACATGCTGTTGCAGCACAGGATGGACTTCTGGTGGTTTCCTCATATGTGGAGCCACATGCAGCCTCACCTTTTTCACAACGTCAGCGTCTTGGCTGAGCAGATGAGGCTTAACAAGATCTTTGCTCAGGTTAGCAGCGCTGATACAATGCAGAATTGGGAGTGTAAATCCACACCTGCATATGCTTACATTCTTTCCTGTCCTGTCTCCCACACCTCCCTTTCTCCAGGAGCACGGCATTCCGACAGATATGGGCTACGCAGTGGCTCCGCACCACTCTGGGGTTTACCCAGTTCACAGCCAGCTCTATGAGGCCTGGAAGTCTGTGTGGGGCATCAAGGTGACCAGCACTGAGGAATACCCCCATCTGAGGCCAGCTCGATACCGCCGCGGCTTCATTCATAATGGAATCCAGGCCAGTCCACAGTCCTTGATCAATACTTGCATTGCAATACTGTTCTGGTTTTCTGTCAGAAATGAGGTTAGATTTTGAAGTGATAATGAAACAAAGCAGCTCTGCACAGCTGGGATGTCCTTTTCTGTGCTGCTGTGTGGAAACAGTTAACCTGAGTAATAGTGATATTATTTCTGAAAATGGCACGGCGTCAACACTATTGTCACATTGACATCAGTATCACATATCACATAAAGAATAAAAAACGAAATTCCTACTTACACTAAAGTAGTCAAAGAAACGTGCTAATTCAGGAGCATGGTGTAGAAATGAAGGGGTACAAGTATAATACAGAGTTAGGTGAGTTCAGTTCTTTCTGCAGAAGGAAAAAAACTTTCCTTGAAGGAAGATGTTCTGTTGGACAAAGACCTGTAGCACGTGCCAGAGGATACAAATGGAGCAGGTAGAGAGCAGGGTCAGATCGGATTTCACCTGCCCTTGTGTTACACTGCAGAGGTAAAACAAAAATCCAGTCTTAACTCTATGGATCAGAGCTCAGTTATTCGCTGCTAGTCATAAACCTGTACTTTGTGAAAAGAGACCAAATTAGATTTTGTCTGGAGAAGGGACTACCCATATAAAGTAAAGGGTAATTAGTTAACAGGTCTGATTTGTATTTTTTAGACATAGTACAGCTACAAAGTGAGCACAAAGCTAAATTACTCAAAGTAACCTTGCATTAAAATGAATAACGCTATTAAAATTATGATCCTGAGTCTACTGGCTTAACCCTGACTAATTACTCATTCCTGCCTTACCCTCAACCTCAAAGTACTGATGTAAAAAAGTAGTGACAGGGAAGTCACAAACAAATACACAACAAACAACTAATGATCTCCTTTTGTGTTTTAGGTGTTGCCGAGGCAGACCTGTGGTCTGTTTACCCATACAATCTTCTACAATGAATACCCAGGAGGCTCAAAGGAGCTGGACAAGAGCATCAGAGGAGGAGAACTCTTCCTCACTGTCCTCCTAAACCCTGTACGAAAACCACCCCGTGCACACACAGGAGCTGTAGACTTGACACTTGTGACTCCACTTGGGCTTTTTTGCTGAGAGACTTGACTTGAGACTTGAATACCTGCTTGATTAGTACTAAATAGTCTGTAAAATGGGTTAATTAGTTATAATGTTAAACAGAGAGTAAACGTGAAAAGTGAGGTATTAAAAGACAAACTTAAAATTAAATTCAGTCAACAACTGCTTCGTTATACAGACAAGAGCTCAATTTTCATCGTAGTTTTTGTCAAAGAATTATTTTTCACTGAAAACGGTAACTACGTAAAAACTAATTTATGACAAAAACTATGACACAATCTACTGATAACTGATAAAAACAAGACTGATTCTCTGTGTGTGGTAGGGATAATGTTATTTTCCCCTAACCCTGTATTGATGAGGGAAGTGAATAACCCAGAGTTGCTAATGTTAAATTAGTCTTATTAATATTAATCGAGGTTTCCTCTTTCCCCAGAATAGTTAGAAATTCTAGAGAAACATTTAAATAATGCATTAGACTTTAACTAAACCCAAATCTCATGATATTTAGTCAACTAAAACTTTAGTTGACTAAATATTTAGTCAACTAAAACAATTTATTATATAAATTATATATATATATATATATATATATATATATATATATAATTTTTGACTAAAATATGACTTAAACTAAATCAAAATTAGCTGTCAGTGTCAACAGTTCAAGAGCTGCTAGTTATGCTTCACTTGTTGAATCACCTGTACAGCTTTTTCAAAGGGTTTACTGAAAAGCTTAAGTGATGAGTATGGAGCATAGTCACATTCAGGACTGATCCTGGTTGACGCATACAGATACTTAGATTCAAGACTTGAAACTGGACTTTAAATGCCCTGTTGTGTAAAGTGTATGATTCAATTTAGGCCAATTTGTAATTTTCATCCTCAGCACTGATGAACCTGAAGCTGCCTTTGACTTGCAAGTCACATCTTAAAGACTTGAGGCTGGACTGAAGTTGCCTGTTACTTGAAACTTGACTTGACTTGTTCAAAAGATTTAAAAACAGCTCTAGCATACACACACACACACAAAATCATATGTATGCAATCTTATTGGGACTGGTTTGTTCAAATAATAAATATGCTTTGTTATATTTTCATAATTTTTTTTCAATTTGTGTCTTTGAAACTGATCTTGATAATTTTTCATTGTAGCCAACGTGTTTGTATGTGAAAATGAATACTGCTGTTGAGTTGATAATCTGAGTAAACTTAACAGCTGTTGCTCATTATCTAGCTAATTTTAGCTCAGCCTGCACATCTGCTGGTTTGAGCTTAAGGACTTGTTGCCATGACAACAGCTACAGGTACAATTTTAAACTAACTTGCAAATTACATTGTACCCTTTCAATCCAGATCAGTATCTTCATGACCCACCTGTCTAACTATGGCAACGATCGGCTGGGTCTGTACACCTTCGAGTCTCTGGTGAAGTTTGTCCAGTGTTGGACCAACCTCAGGCTGCAGACGTTGCCCCCTGTCCAGCTCGCTGAGAAATACTTCCAGATCTTCCCTGAGGAGAGAGACCCCCTCTGGCAGGTCAGTAACTTTTTTTGGAGAATAAAAGATTAGAATTAGACATTTAAGTATTTTGAAATGTATTTTTGAATAGCTATGTCTAAATCCTCTGGTTGGTTTCATTCTTAAGTTAGATCATAGCCAGTCATTAAAGGTTATATATATACGACATTCATTGACATGAGATGTCACACTAAAGCACCAGCATCTTAGACCAATACAATGGGCACTACGGCTGACCAGACCCCATTGACAAACCAGTCATTTTACCTAGCAGATAATTGTAAAACACACTTCAAACTGGACAGAAGCAAAATAAAACTCACAAAAACTGTCTTAGTTAGTCTTTCTAACTATCACCAACACTGGTTTGGTCCAAATAAATCGTTAATTTACTCAGATGTGAAAACAGCCTCAAAATCTTTGGGGCAGCCATCAAAGTATGTCCACTAAAAATCGTTGTTTTTGCCACCGACAGGCTCAGATTGTTATTCTATGTGTCCCCTACTGAGATAGACCTTTATGTTTAACCAGAAACTGCTGTAATATTGCTCACCAGTCATTTTACCTCGCATATCATTGTAACATCCTAACTTCATTCAAAATGGACAGAAACTAAATAAAACTCACCAAAACGGTCTTTGTTAGTCTTTCCACTGTTCCAACAATCACCAACTCTGGTTTGATTGAAATAAATCCTTAATCACAGACGTAGATGATAAAAACAGCAGGTTTAGTTGCCCTACTCGCATGGAGGGATTCACATGCACTAACATGGACGCCCAGCCAGACTGGCTTTGTAAACAAACCACAGAGAGGCTGCAATGTCCTTCTCTGGTCAGGACACCATGACTCCACTATTTTGTTACATAGCAAATCGTTGTTTACTGCTGTATTAATGTTTCAAATCTCATATGCACAACTTTTAAATGATAGTCAATGGTTTAATCAAGCAAAGCTAAAAGTTGTTTGTCGTGGTGAAAGTAAAAGCCACAGCTGTACACTAAATAAGATTTCCTTTACATTAAAAAAGGTATTTTCTACCTTAACTAAGTCTGTTATTGAAAGGTCTGTAAAAAACTTTCTTCAAGCTCACAGAAAAGTGGAAATGTGACTGAATTCAAATGAACATATATAGCATGAACACTGGTATTGAAGCATAGTGTCGAATGTATTTGCTTCCAGATGTGATTTAAAAAGTGAAAACCAACCACATTATTTTTCAGAACCCTTGTCACGACAAGAGACACAAAGATATCTGGTCCAAAGAAAAGACCTGTGACCGACTCCCCAAGTTCCTCGTCATTGGACCACAGAAAACCGGTACCACGCTCTCTCCATCTCCGTTTTCATTCTTTATCTTTGTCTTCGTATCTCTTTCTTCATTATTATAAATGTGTTCACTCAAAGGCACTACAGCGCTTCATTCATTCCTGAGCCTCCACCCGGCAGTCACCAGCTCCTTCCCAAGCCCCACCACCTTTGAGGAGATCCAGTTTTTCGGTGGAGCAAACTATGACAATGGGATTGACTGGTAAAGACATCTTTCTTAAGATTTCTTATTTTCTAAGGTTCTGTTTTGCTGGACTGGTGCTTGCAGGTCTTAAAGGATAGGCTGATATTATAGGTGTTAAAAGTTGAATTTCAAGTCTGTCTTAATACTGTACAAATATTACATATGTACATTGAAAGTGTTGAAGGTACTCTGGGAAGTCATTCTTCCTCTCCATACTAGTTGTAAAGAGATCTTTCTAACATGGCTATACTGTAAAATATTGGGGGACAAAATCCAAAGTTACAGTTGTTCTAATTTAAATTAGTGTTAGCTGAACTGCAGTGGAGGGATATTGCATGCTGGTGTGTTGTGAGAACACTAAACCTACCTGCGATTGCCAAGACAAATATACCCACTGAAGATTAAATGAAATATTGATTAACCAAAAAGAACAGCAACTCCAAACTTGTTAATGTCCTGGATTGACCAGTCAGGGTCCAGCACCTCTATCCAATCCACAATCTGTGTCAAAGGTGTCTGTACTACATACTGACTTGAGAGTGTGAATACTTATAATATAATATAATATAATTTTTTAATATTTGTACTTAGTACAGTAGTTTTAATTGGTTTATGGCGAGCTGTTTGACATCGAAGAGTCTTTTCTGTTCACCGATGTCGCACATTATAGTAATTCAACTGTTAATGTCGTGGAACCTAACTGAAGTGGCCTGGGGATGTGAATACTTTTTAGTCAGTAGCTAACTGGTACTTGTTGTTTTATTTGGGTTCTCTTCAGGTACATGGACTTCTTCCCATTCCCTTCCAATGTCAGCACAGATTTCATGTTTGAAAAGAGTGCCAACTACTTTGACACAGAGGTAGCTCCTAAGAGAGCTGCCGCCCTGCTTCCCAGAGCCAAAATCCTGGCAGTGCTCATCAACCCGTCTGACAGGGCTTACTCCTGGTACCAGGTGAGAACCATCATCCAGACTGTGTCAGACCGTACAGTTCCCTCAAAGAAACACAGTTACTCACTGTGTGTCTGTGTGTTAATGACCACAGCACCAGAGAGCCCACCAGGACCCTGCAGCCCTCAACAACACTTTCCATGCAGTGGTGACTGCTGGCCTCTCAGCCCCCAGGGACCTGCAGGCCCTTCAGAGACGCTGCCTTCATCCCGGGGCCTATGCTACTCACCTGGAGCGCTGGCTGCAACACTACCAGCCCAGTCAGGTAACAGACACACACAGGGACAGGTGGATATTAGTATGGTCCAGTCGACTTCACTGTCACAGGCAGCTGCTGCTTTCCATGCTGGTGTTCTTACAAGGAGATGGTATATTATTATTATTAATGCTTCTAAATGTTGGAGGAGTTGCACCATCACCAGACAGTTACACAGACGCACATAACATATATAACAGATCAAAACAATAGCAGTTATCAGTCCTCAGTATAACATATACTTGACTCTTTCGCCCCCTGCTGTCCAGTTATAGATATAACACTCTACATATAACATCGTATGAACAGAATATTAAGCTGCTTTGCTGAGGAGCCTGATTATTTTTGTTGCCATAGATACCATTCAACACAGTAACTTGTAATATCTTATGCCATTAAGGATATTTTAAAGTTAAATGGACTCAAAGCATTATAACATTATTAACATGCATTAAACTTGCAGATGTCGTCCTAGCTTATGTTAGATAGTGTCTGCCAAAGCTCTTTACATTCAGCACATTGTCATAAGGTACGGAACCTGCATTACGTGCATCAGTAAAATGAGTCGGGAGTCTCTATGATGCAGTTACTTTCTCTGAATGTTGCAACAGAGAAGACTCACAGGCCCTGTTCATACGTTTATAAGTAAACACTGGGCGTTAGAATGCATCGTGACCACATGGGATGAAATCTCACTTCCCCACTCTGTATGCAGTTAAACATACATTGTTTCCAAATGCAGCCCCCTAGTAGTAGGCATTATAATAATTAAGAATTTGTCATAGAAAGTACCTAATAAAATGTATCACTACTCAAACTCAAAATGGTGCGATTTTTAAGGGGATTCTGGGGACATTGCATTTACTAGTTCATTGGTGAAATCACATCTATTTATTATGGCGAGTCCAATCTCAGGCAACATGGTTTGTGTGTACTTACAGTATTTCTGTAGAGTAGGCGGTCGTTCAATGTGGGCCAGTACGCGTTAGGGTTTACACTACAAAAGATATGTTGTTGAACGTATCCCAGACCACCTCAGTAAGTGATCGGATCACAATGTGTCTCTTTGGATGTTTACAATTGTATTTAGAGCTTGAGATCCTATTACCCAAGATGCATCTTAATACCAGGTGTAAACAGGCTGTACCAGAGTATCACCCACTGAGCGCTGTTTATTATCATTTGCATCTGCCATCTGCCATCTGTTACTATATATATCATATTTACATCTGTGGCACAAATGGATGCAATCAAACAAATATGTTGCCAGTGGTCAGCTGTTACTCACATATCCCATATGTTCCTGTTGGATGGTGCAGTTGCACATCGTGGACGGCGCCCTGCTGCGCTCCAATCCAGCACTGGTGATGGAGGGGATCCAGAGATTCCTCGGTGTCACTCCCATCTTCAACTACACCCAGGCTCTAATGTTTGTAACACACACATGCTGCCACACATATACACACTGTTATTCTAGAGATTATGTATAAAAAGTGTACTGTGAAATAACACGCTGTGTTCCTGCAGGTACGATGACAGCAAAGGTTTCTGGTGTCAGCGGGTGGAAGGAGGTCGAGCAAAATGTCTGGGGAAGAGTAAAGGCAGGAAGTACCCTGAGATGAGTTCTGAGGTACATCTACACCTCACACTGCCATCACCTCACATCACACATTGACTGGAATGTGCAAGCAGCAGTTATTATAGTTTTGTGTTTTTCATTAGTTTTTATTTTTATTGTTTTTAATTCAGTTTAGCTTCCAGAGTGAGTTTGCTCATTTCAGTTTATTTATTTATGTTTAAAAAGGTTTTTATTTCATTTTGTTCATAGTTTCAGGATTAGTTGTAGTAGTATTAATTCTAATGTTGGGGTTATTTGTCAGGGGCAAGATCGAACAATGTAGCATTGAGCATCAAACACTGACTCAGAGTCATGTCTGTCTCAATAAACATATGCACCAGTGCCTCCTTGTTGTGTTTACAAATATGACTAAATTGACTAAAGACATTTTCTGTATATATTTATTTTATTTTATTCTAGCAACTTGTTTTCACACCTAGTTTTAGTATTAGGGAACTAAAATAACCTTGGCAAGCAGTAACATTCAAAGGATGATTTTAGTTTATTGAAACTTCGATCTTATTAGGGATGCACAATATAGATTTTTTTCAACTAATACGATAATAACCTGGCCCGGACAAGAAACACAACAGTCAGAGCATCACTGAGGTCCTCAGGTTGACAGAATGGAGGGTAGCTTTCCAAGTAAACACAGAGCTGGGCTCCTTCTGCATGTGTGGAAAGCTTAAAGGATACGTCTGGTAATATTCTAGATTTTTGCCCAAACAGACAATGAATTAATTCTACTAACAAGTATTGTGTCTGTATCAAAGCCTAATACTAGTTTAGTTTATTTTTATACACTTTAAAAAATAAAAAAATTTTACAAAGGTAACAATAATATACAGTGCTGGGAGAGGCAGCTGCAGAAAACTGGGGCTTATTTAAATCCTCCACTCAAGTTAAAATTATAAGTTACAGAGAGTATAAAAATGAACACACAATTTGACTACATAAAAATGATGGCAAACTAATAGTAATAGTAGCACACACCAAGGATTAGCTAACATTGCACATAGCTATTTTCTCATCTAACTCAGTGAATTAGGGGTTTATTTGAACCAAACCAGAGTTGGTGATTGTTGGAAAGACTAACAGAGACAGTTTTGGTGAGTTTTATTTAGTTTCCGTCCAGTGTGTTTTATGATTATCTGCTTGGTAAAATTACTGCTTTTGTCAATGGATTCTGGTTGGCTATAGTGGCCAGCATTTTGGTCTGAGATGCTGGTGCTCTAGTGTGACACATTGACATATATTTCCCATATATAACCTTTTTAAGTAATTCTTTCATTCTCTTCAAAAGTATAATTTGCTCACATTTTAGCTGTATGATGATGGGTTGAAAGGCATTTAAATAGAATGTGTGAGCCTGCTGTTGTGTGCATGGTGTCTTGATGCAGAGAAAGACTGAAGAGAGCTGAACCCACAGGTCTGACAAACAGATATGATGCTGGGATGAGCAGCACAGTGGGAAACCACTGAGTGTCATTGATAAATGTTCCACAGGCAGACAAAGGCTGTAGCTCTCACTGTGCGCTCTGATCAGATCTTTGAGCTCTATTTACAGTGAGTGGCTCTGACGCTCTCACTGCTAATGTGTCACTATGACAACACTGGCAACGGTCAGCTGTGCCTACATATTAAACAGGGTTTTAATAAGCTGATTCTAATGTTTATTTCTTCTCTTTTCATATATTTGGATACATTAAATTAAAAGGTGATTTAAGTTAATTGTGCATCTTATTGTAAAATTACTAAAATGTACAGTTAAAAATGAAAATGATTGAATCAATCCGCTGCTGAAAATAGTCCCCAACGAATGCACTATTTGCTCCTGTTTGAGCATTTTTGTTAAAAATGAATGTCTAGCACTTTAATGAAATTACTGAGGCTTATTTAAAAGTCATGTATTCAAAATCTTCTTGCCAATGATGTCACACTAGAGCACCACCATCTAAAACCAAAACAATGGGACAGAAGTAAAAGTCACCAAAACTGTTTTTGTTAGTCTTACCACAGTCTTTCCAACATTCCCCAGTGATGGTGTCCACTGATTGTTGTTGCCACTGACAGGCTCAGATTGTTATTCTCAGTGTCTGACAACATGATAGAAAGGATTACTACAGAGATAGACCTTTTGTTTAACCAGAAACTGCCATAATATTACTATCGCTCACCACGGGTTTCCCACGCATCCTGGAAAACATGGAAACCCTGGAAATTTACAGACTAGTTTTCCAGTCATGGGAACACCTGGAATTTGATTTCAATTACCACAAATCCTGAAAATAGTTTGTTGTCCTGGAAATTTTTTTGTAGTATTTTAGCTCCTCGCCTAGATTGCCTGCATTAAACTATAAGCATATTTAGTTTGAAGCTAAGATAAGATAAGATATTCCTTTATTTGTCCCACAATGGGGAAATTCCAGTGTTGCAGCAGCAAAGTGGATAGAGAAAAAGAAACAATATACAAAAGGCAAGTACATCAATAATTTGTTAGATATTCACTGGATAAGCAAAAAAGGTAAAGATAAAAAAGTAGGGTGATCACTCACAATAATATGGATTCCAAGATGATTGATATCTGACAGATAGAGCAAACTGCAGATATAGATTTTGTAAAGCATTTGACATTGCCGACTTAAGTACTGCAATTGAATGTAATGATACAACTACCAAAATCACGCATCCATCCCCAAGCATTTCCAACCAGTCTAAAAAAGCTTATTCATAAGGCCCCAAAACCGGGCAAAAGCCCCAACATCCGTGCCTCACGTGTGAGATTAACCAGTGCAGACTCAATAAAGTCCGCTCTTTACAGTTTGCCTCATGCCTGTGACACCTTAAGTAGCATTGATACATTGTTAGACAATGTAACTGTGCTAAGACATTTATGCACCAATTCGCACGACGAACCAAACGTCAACGGCCCCGCTTAATTGGTGGAAAAAGCGTACACTTACCTCAAAACATCTAAAAACCTGAGACCCGGGGGTAATCAACTACAGTTGCCAAGGGCCAGAATTTGAAGCTGACACTTTTGATGACAAGACATAGAAAACAGAAAAATAAACAATCTTCAAATTAGGCTAAATTACTGCCACTAATATGCGCTATATTGGAATTTCTTCACAAAAATTCAATTATGTGATTCATAGCTGACTCGAGGTGTAGAAGAAAAAACTCGAATAATCCATCAAGAGAGATAATTGCAGAGGAGCATAGAGACACTTTCTCTTCAAATTTTTTTCCAGTTGTTGTTTTGTTTTTTTTTATTTTTTTCTTTAAGAGAAATGCTCCAGACCTCCACCCACCTCCACGAGTGAGAGAGATGGAAATCGTATTGTTGAAAGAGCAGCCTGATTCGCAGAAATAGATAACACATAACCAGTTGAATGACTATACCATACACCGTGAGGTGCAGTGACACCTGTAGTTAAATGGAATTTAATACACAGCTTACAAATGACGGGGCAGCAAACCCAAAAACCGAATATGTCTGTAAAAGAAAAGCAGGCCAATATTTGTCTTTTATCATCTGTGAACAAAACCCCAGGGTGAAAATCCGCATTTTATCTGGCCAGCAGAGCCAATGAGTGTGAACAGCGTTGGGACCAAAAAGTGGGAAAAATACTTTGGGTTAGCATGCTAGAAAAAGTTTTAGATTCAGCTCTTTTTTTCATTCTTAACAGGCCAAAACCTGGCCCGCTCCCCCTTCCTCAATTCTATAACTGCCGCAAAATCAAACAGTACTCTTTGGTTGTAAGATGCACTTTGATGAACATAGCGGCACCAGCATCAAGACTTCCCGAAAAAACAATCTGCATTCCTGGTGCACGAACCCCACTCTCAAATATATGAACATAAACGGGTTCTTTCAAATTGTTTTAAAATCCAGGTGGATATATATTACTTTTTTACAGGAAAGACATGATTGAAAAAACTTGTTGCAGCAGATATTCCTCAAGAACGGACTCATGGCTTACTGAGCTCAAAGGGTGCTCTACTAATAATTCTGAGCAAAGGGTCTGAATACTTAACATTTAAATGAAGCGACCTCTATATGTTTTAATGATATTCCAGTTTTTTATTTTTGCCAAAAATAAAACGATTTCTAACATTTGCCTGGTTTTATTTTTTTTTTTTTTGCTGTCAACAAGGGTCTGAGTGTACATTAGAGAAAAACGAACCTTTTTTGTTTTAAGCAAATGGCTGCAATGAAAATCATGAAAATGTAAGGGGTCTGATACTTTGCGGCCCACTGTATATTGCAAGTATTATATGTTTGCCTATGAAGTCTGATGCAGGGTTTCCCGCATTCCAGGAAATAATAAACATTTCCGGTAGGTACTATTGACTGTTTCTCACCCCAGCCAAAAGCATGATACAATTAACATCCTGTGCATGGTTTTAACCAGCCACAAACAAACAAATGTGATCAATCATTAACAGGCCTGTATGCATTTAGATATGAACCTTTACGAAGTGTATATTTTTCACACTGGGTCTCTTCAGAATTCGCTTGATAAACTGGGACTGAAAAGAATTGCGCAAGTCCGTTCACTTCAACGACTTACCTTTACCTTCTTCCCCTCCGCATTTGAAAACAAGCTTTGAAGTGTGGAGACTGCACAGCTTCTCACAAACCCTAACCCCCGCCCCCCCATAACAAGTGCAATATTTCACTAAACGCTGCTGCCATATTAATATACATATTGTATATGTCTTTTTTGTGTTATCTGTTGTGTACTGGTTGCGTTTAGACTCTTACTCTTGTACATATGTGTTATTATTATGTTTTCGCTATCTTAGT